ACCTGCTGGGCAGGGTCCTGCACACACCTGACCCCAGAGACAGTCTGCCAGGGGGCTCCAGGTGAAGTTATGGCCCTGTGGGGTGGCATCTGAGCTCCCTTCTTGGCAAAAGAATCCAGCAGCACATCTCCCCTCCACTCGTCCTCTCCTAGTGCAGAGAAAGTGGTAGGAATTTATTCAGATGGCAAAGAGGCATTATTCATTAAAACCATACCTTTTCAATGCCACTTTTCAAAATTAACTCACAGAGCAGTTTACAGTATAAAACCGGAGTTGCCAACATGCCCTCTGGCCCTTTCCACAACACCAACAAAAGGTCTCAGTAAATATGCCCCCCAAAGATCTACGAGAGACTGTTTGCTCTTCCTACCTGCACTTGCCTTTACTGATTGTGTCACTGATGCTTGACCTTATTTACATCCCTGGCTTTATAGCTGTTTTGATGGACTGTTTTGTGGGTGCAAAGAAAGGCAGGATAAAAACAAATGCATTAAGTAAAATGAAATGAAGCTAAACAACAAGAAAGAGGAAAGAAGCAAAGCAGCACAATATGGCACACTGGAATTTGCTGAGACAGTGGAAAGGATTCACCACTACCTGCAGAAGTGACCCACAGGACAGGGAAGACATCCTCTCTCCTCCTGAAGGCCAGACATATCCACAGGAGTAAAAGTGCCGTCGGGACATGGATAAGGAAACAAAGTACCTAAGGAAAGGGGACATATAAAAAACACAGATCAGTGAAGTATGCAACAACTTGAGAAGAGCTCTGCCGGATTACATCAAAGGCCCATCTAGTCCAGCATTCTGTTCTTACAGTGGCTGGCCAGATGTCTATGGGAAGCCCGTAAGAAGGACCTGAACACAACAGAACTCTCCCCAATTGAGATTCTTAGCAACTGGCATTCAGAGTTTGTGAATGAAACTTTAGGTGATGGGTCAGTGACATCAATCAGTTAAAGCTTGTGGCCCTTTGGTTAGTGTGCTGCTATTTGTACCTTCAGGACAATATGAATGTGGTGGACAGCGTCTTGGCTTCCCTGTGGCAGCCTCATGGCAGTAGAAGCCTGCTTGGCAGGGGAGGCAGTGTTCTGAGCCCCGGTTTGGTTGGAATTCACCAATGAGGCAAGGGGCTGGATAGGCAGCCCCAGACCGGCAGAAGTGCCCCTGGAAACCAGAGAGAGAGAGAGAGAGAGAGAGAGAGAGAGAGAGAGAGAGGAGGGGGGGAAATTGAGACAAAATAATAAACTAACTGCTGACACACAAATACACAAGCTGTCTTCTGCTAAGCCAAACCATTGGTCCATCTAGCTCCATAATGCCTACACTGACTGGCAGCCGCCCTCCAGGGTTTCAGGCAGGGGACATTCCCAGCCCTACCTGGAGATGCCTTGGGTTGAACCAGGGACTACCCTCATGCAAAGCAAATGCTCTGCCACTGAACTATGACCCTTTTCTTAAGATATAAGACCATAGGAAGCTGATCAATACCAAATCAAGTCCATTTACCTCAGCATTGCCTGCACTGTCTGGCAGCAGACAAGAATTTCCCCCAGCCAATAATTGTTGGATAAACATTGTAAACAACATAATAAATGAATCCAATAAACATTGTAAAAACACGGTAAGCTGAATCAGACCATTGGCCACCTTATGCAGTATTGTCTACACTGGCTGGCAGCAGCACTCCAGGTTTTCAGGCCAGGGTCTCTCTCAGCCCTACCTGGAGACACCAGTGCTTGAACCTGGGACTTTCTGCATGCAGGTAAGGTGTTCTACAATGGTGCCCCAGCCCTAGGTTGAGCACAGGGAAAGGCTGCAGCCGGCATGGGCATATTCAGGGAATATTCAAGCTCTAATCCAGAACATCTGGAGGGCACCATGTTGGCTACTTCTGGTTTAAACCCTTGCAACAGACCACCAAATCAGACCCCTCCCCCACAGAGTGGCAACGCCCAGGATGCTCATCTGTCCTGTCCCACTGCATGCCCCTGGGCATCTCTCCCAGTCTCACCCAACACTAGTTTCTATTATTTATTTTCACCAGGTGTGGGGGACCTGTGGCTCTACAGATGTTGATAAACTACAACTCCCACTGTCCCTCCCCATTGGCCATTCTGACTGAGGATGCTGGGAGTTGGAATCCAAAACCATCCAGAGGACAACAGGCTTGCCAACACTTTTTCTTTCTTTTTTTACACACAAATCTAATTACAGCATCTGTGGCTGGGTGGGGGAGAAACATCCCATGGCTCACTTTTCTGATTTCATTTTTCTATTCAGAACATTCCAGACTGGTTCTGTATCAAGAAGCAACAATCTTCACATTGGCTTCCATGGAGAATACCCCAAGCTACCAAACCTCCTTTGTCGAATCCAATGCTCTGCCCAGGAGTTGTATTAAGGCTGGGTTGGGGAACTGGTGGCCTTTGAGCTGTCACCATCCCTGACCATTAGACATGCTGTCTGGGGGAATTTCATTCCAACACAACACCTGGAGAGACTAAGGGCTTCCTCCCACAAAGCAACCCAATGATAATCAGGTTCACATAAATTGTGATAGCAAATGACAGAGCACATGTTCCAGACCTCAGGGCACAGAAATGCTGTTGGGCTGAATGAGCTGAAGTTTGCCGGGCAGTAGAAACCAGCAGCACATGGTCCAGTAGGTGAACTTAAACCCACTCCAGCACAGAAGAATCCTGGATAGCATGGGACGCAGCAGTCTGGAGAGGAACCTCCTACAGGACACAAAAGCTGGCAGAGATCAGTTTAATCTGGAGAATGAGGAACATAGGAAGCTGTGTTACACTGTTGGTGCCTTATATAAGGCACCACAGCAGGCGCTGTAATTCTCCAACAGAGAATTATCCCTGAAGGTGCACTCTTCCATTGTCTCCCAAGACAGATAGATGCCAACAACAACTGCAGAGCACAGCCATCCTATGAGATGGTTGTGGGAATGCACTGGAGCCTGAATAAGTGGTAATGTGTACATAGCCTAAAACTTTAAAATACAAAAGGTACTGTGTGAAGATCTTCCAGGTCTGCTTTGCCTGTGATTTGAGAGTTTGATTTTCTCTATCAAACCAAGAGGTTCAAGCCAAGAATACAAGTTACTTTAAAGATTTTAGCTTTGAAAGGATGAAAGTGCAGCTGTCATTTCGGCTCACGTTACGTGGCTAGAAAGTTAGTGGGCTTTCTGCTATCTCTAATGGAAAAAAGTTTTAGCTGATGAATGACACATCTATTAACTGATTGACTGAGTTAGCTAGCCAATTATTTTTAAATACATTTGCATATCATCATCAGCTCAATAAAGAGACAACTTCTGAGATATCAGATGATAAGGCTATCAACTATTTAATAAACAAAAGCCTACATGTGGTAGAAGAAAATGCAATTTTATTTAATTTATTTTTGCTTCTATTAAAGTTATATATCAAAACCCAAACCGAACAAGATTTCCCAAGAGGCAGCTTCACTGATTAAAATATGCCCACGCCAATTCAAAACAGTTCCCATTGGCTAATCAGGCAAGGCTACCTGTGGCCCTCCAAATGTTTGTAGAATAATAGAATTGTAGAATTGGAAGGGACCATGATGGTCATCTAGTCCAACCCCCTGCTATGCAGGAATTTTTGGACTTTGCAAACCTTGCTCAGTATTGTCCACTCTGTCTGGCAGCAGCTCTCCAGGAAATCTCTACCCAACATGGGGCTCAAATCCATGACTCTGAGATTCAGAGTCTCATGATCGGACTGAGCTATCCCCCAGAGATGAGGGGAGTTGAAGGCCAGGAGCAGCTGGAGGCCCCACAGTTTGCCCACCTTGAGCTAAGCCTTTAGTGTCTTTAGTTGATTCAGCTGCCAAACTTTGCTTTTCAGCTTAAACACTGGGTTTCAGTGCTTGCACTTGCTCAACATTGGGACTAGGTTGCTGTCTTCTGTGACTAAAGATGGAGATGGCCTTTAGGAGGGAAAGGTGAGCCCTCCGTTGGTGTTCAGTATGAACTTGTAAAGGGGCAAGTGGGAACATGAACTGTAAGCCACACCTCTCCAAAGGTTGCTGCATGTGCCAGGCAATGCACAACCACATTTAGTCTGAAGGGGGCTGCCATATTTGTGTGTAAAATTATGGAACCCTTATTGACTAGGATTTCCATCCCTGTACAGTATTAGAAATCCTATTTGTGAATAAGGCAGCCTCTTTCAGAATAAAATAAAAGAAGACATTGTCTAGAGAATGTGTTTGGTGTGCACAGCGCCATCAAGGATCTCCTCATTTTGTTCCTGTTTGCCCCTTCATGTGTTCAAACTGAATAGCTGGTCCCAACCAGACCATACATTTTTAATGCTCTGATACCAATTGATTAGGCTTGGCTGTCCCCAAAGAATTCTGGGAACTGTAGTTCACTCAGGGGGCTGGGAGTTATAAGGAGGTTGCTCACAGAGCTACAATTCCCAGTGCCCTTAAACTATATTTCCTAGGATTCTTTGAGGGAAGCAGTAACTGTTAAAGTGGTATAATAGTGCTTTATATATATATATATGATGTGGCTATGGCCACTGGAAGAGGCTAGAGGGCATCCATGCGCCCCTCATAAAGCCGATGTGGGTGCTGTGGGGTCATGTGTGGAATGAGGGACTAACCTTTCTTCTAGATGCCAGCTCTCTCACACAAAATTAAACAGCTTTGAATTTTCTGCTATCCCACCTAATTTGTGGGGAATGTGGGGGAAGTAAGAGCTTTAGTATGAGTGTAAGAATAAACAAGAACAGTTCAGCACACCTCCCTTCCACTGATTCACTGCTTCAGAACCCCTCTGGGTATCTTGAAGAATGTGGCAGTGGGACCTTGCATTTGCTGAAATAACATTTAGTTCCACCCTAAAATATGCTTGTGGCTGCATGTAACCTTGAAAACCTTGCTCAGTATTGTCTGCACTGTCTGGCAGCAGCTCTCCGGGGTTTCAGACAGGTGACATTCCCATCTCCACCTGCAGATGCTTGGGATTGAGCCAGAGACCTATCTGCATGAAGAGCAGGTGCTCTACCACTGAGCTATGACCCGTCCCCTTCATTTTCCCCTTTCACTGAAGAAGAAATTTCCTCCCACTGAAAAAGATTTGGCACATTTCTTACATGCTAGGTTACCAACTGGGCTCCTTGCGTTCAGAGAAAGTCAGGTGCGGCAGCAGCTGAAATTTGAACATGGAGTACCCATGCTGTACTCACCTGTAACATTATTCAGAGTGCCCACTGGACAGGGAACGGGGAACCAAGTGCCTTCTGGACAATAGTGCCCCCATGGGCAGGGCCCATTAAGAGGAAATTCAGGTGTGCTTTGTGGGACAGCATCAGAGGCTCCCCCTGAACAGTAATACCCAGAGGAGCACAGACCTGCCAATTGGAAAACAGAACTCTCAGGGGCTGTGGACACATAACATGACGAAGTGCAAACAGTGTTAAGTGCCCCTATAAAGGTTAGCTCAGAACAGACACCTTGCTCCTGCGTTGTTCACATACGTATAGATTAAGGGTCCACACCTTTCTGGGGTGGGGGGAAAGCCAATATTTCTAATTCCTCTAGTATGAATGAAGGTAAGGTAAAAGGTAAAAGACCCCCAGACAGTTAAGTCCAGTCAAAGGCAACTATGGGGCTGCAGCGCTCATCTCGCTTTCAGGCCTAAGTATGAATGAACTACTAATCTGACAGAGGCAAAGAGAAATCTCTTAATAAATCAGAGGTGTGTGCTACTACTTCATTCCATAACTTTTATTTTCTGCAACAAGGCAGCCTCTGAATCATTTTGAAGTACTTGCAAGATTTCACTGTGTCTAGCCTATACCACTTCAACATAAAGGTGAGTGGCACAGAATGGAAAACTCCTCAGTTCAAAATATTCCTTGCATATCTGGGAGAAAGCTTTCCCTTAATGTCAAGAGTTCTCTCTCTCTCTCTCTCTCTCCTCTCTGTCTGTCTCTCTCTGTGTGTATGTATGTATGTATGCATGTATGTTAAGGGGCATGTAAGTAGAAAGGTTAATGTGCATATCAACTGAGAACTGTGCATATTCAGCAGGTCTCATGGAGAATGTGCACATAACCCTTCCACAACGAGGGAATTGTGCACATTACCTGGTCAATATACATATTCTCCAACAGACTTTGAAACATGTGCCTATATGGATAGAATTTTGCAGATTCTCTGGTCATTATTAATAATTTCCAACAGGCCTTGGGCAATGTGCACAGCATCCATTAACTGCTATCAGTGGCATCCTGCCTTTGTACATCTTCACCATTTATTACATTTATTCATTGCTTTGCGCAAGATGTCTCAAAGCATCTTATACATCTATAAAATACAAGTCACTTGACAATAATTTAAAAACCAAACATTGGGAAGCAGGGAATACAATAGAAGAAGGTTCCAAATAGCTTCCACGACTACCAACCATTCATAGGCAACTCCTCTAGGAAAGTGTCTGATTCTCTCATAAAGCCATCTATGTTACTGGACACCCCATGGCTGAACATTACTAGGACTTGTGAATCACCTCAGAGCCATAACTAACCCTACCTCTTACCATTAGGTTCCCAGTTAGCATTTCCACTGCAGTACCTCCCAACTGGACATGGTTTGCAGGCATTGGAGGAGAGCGCCCCCTCCAGGGTGTTCAGGGTCCCAGCAGGACATGGCAAAGGGATGGCTGTCTGGGCTGGGCAGTAGTAACCTGCCGAAACAAGAAAGCATTAGGGGGCTGTGTGTACACATTATATTTATAGTGTAAAGGGATTGGTGGTTGAGTTGGGCAATTTCTAGGTTCCCTCAGCTCAGTACCGGTAATTCTGAGTTTGCAAGATCAGGGGTCTGGAGAACTGAAGGACTGATTTAGATAAGAGTCCCCATTTGCAGGGGTGGGGCTGGAGAGCACATTTGGAAATGTAAGAAGATAAATCCACCCCAAAATAAACAAAACAGAGAGAGTGAGGTGCAGGGAGAAGGCAACTCCCCCAACAAAACAACAACCCGACCCTAAAAACATGAAGGGGGTAGTGGAAGGTATTGGTACTTGTTAAAGGTGTGAGTTTCTGGCTTTGTTATGTAAAATAGTTGGCCAAGTACACACTATTTGTTGCTAATGACTAGAGGCCCTACTGGAAGGAAGAATGTCTTTGTCCCCTCTGTGGCAGCTGTTGTCATCCAGCTATGTCTGTGTGGATCAAGAGTGCAGACTGAGAGAAGGATCTTGTATGCATGCTGGGTCCCTGGAATGTGTATGTAATTTGGAGAATTGCAGCACACAAGGATTTGATTCAAAGGATCTTGAAGGGGTATGGGATGGAGAATTATCATGGTAACTCAGGAAAGGACTTGTTCATCATACTGGATAACACTGACAGTCAAGGAAAGAGGGTAAGGAGTGCTTTCTACCTCCGGCAAACAGTGTGCCTCCAATCAGTGGAGTTAAATGCAATCTCTCAGTGTCTCACCTCTGGGGCAGCTGAGTGGCTCCACAGTAGCAGCATAACGGCAAGCTGTACCCGCTGGGCAAGGGAGGCAGAAGCTGGCCCCGACCATGGGGCTAAACATGCCAGGCTCACAAGGAACTTCCAGAATGGCACCCTCAGGGCAACGGAATCCTGTAGGGCATCTGTACCCATGAATCCCATCGCTGGGGCAGGGAGCAGCATTTCCCTCAAGGCAAACACACCTACAAATATTACATAGGAATATCTAAGGCAGGAGTAGCCAACACGGTGATCTCCAGCTGCTGTTGAACTCCCACTTTCATCAGCCCCATTCAGCATGGCCAATGGTCAAAGAGGATGGAAACTGTAGGTCAAGAAGATTTGGAAGGCACAACTTTGCTACCCCTAATCTAAGGTTCGTCAAGGCCCTTGGCCTACACTGGAAGGACAGAGTCCAATCCCCGCCTCTAGTTTCAGTTTAAGGCATGCTTAAAACCTGGCAGATGGTTGCCTGAGGAGACATGAATGCCTCTGCTTAGACATGAATGCCTCTGCTTAAATTCATCATTAACAACAACAACAGCAACAACAACAATTTATTTATATGCTGCCCATCTGACTGGGTTGCCCCAGTCACTCTGGATGGTTTCCAACAAATTAAAACACAAGAAAGAAGACATCAAACATTAAAAACTTCCCTATACAGGACTGCTTTCAGATGTCTTCTAAAAGTCAGATCGTTGTTTATTTCCTTGACATCTGATGGAAGGGCGTTCCACAGGGCAGGTGCGGCTACAGAGAAGGCCCCTTGCCTGGTTCCCTGTAACCGCACTTCTCACAATGAGGGAACCACCAGAAGGCCCTCGGAGCTGGATCTCAGTGTCCAGGCAGAACGATGGGGGTGGAGACACTTCTTTGGTTATATAGTGTCATAGCCATTAAGGGCTTTAAGGTCAGCACCAACAGAGCCAGAAGGGTTGATGGGTTTTCTGAATCTAAGAATCTGCTTTATACCAAGTCAGACCATTGCTCCATCTAGCTCAGTAGTGTGTCCAGTGATTGACAGCAGCTCTTCAGGGTTTCAAGCAGGGTTCTTACCCAGACCTACCTGGAGATGCTGCCAGGTTTCAAGCCTGGGACTATCTACATGCCAAGCAGATGCTCTGCTACTGAGTTATAACCCTTTCCACACAAATATCAGGCAGTAGCAACCAATCTACTGTAAGGCAGTGGCCCCATGCCACAAAATAAGAGGTGAGCAGAAGTAAACATTCTCATCATCAAAATGGTAGACCCAGGGACATAGCTGTCAATGTTTCCTTTTTTTAAAGGGAAATTCCCTTATTCTGAATAGGATTCCTCGCAAGAAAAGGGAAAAGTTGACAGCTATGCCCAGGGCTGGGATGCAGGCAGCAGAACTCAGGTGTCACCTGTTTCCCTTGGCTGTCTATTACTCAGAAATGTGCTGTGCTTCTTTGCTAGTGATGCAAGGAGGTACTCCTGTACTCTTTTTGTCAAAACCACTGCTACAGTTTGGCTTTAGCTGAAACACATGTTATTTGTCTCACTATTGACTATATAATTAATAAATGATATCACTGTGCCAAGCTGATTTAGAAAACATAACTCACAAATGTAAATCACTATGTAATTAACTTCAATCCATTTCAATGGAAGGGAAACTTCAAAAGCAATGTAGAAAATGACATAATTTTTATGTAAGGTTTGCAGACCAAAAAACCCACTATGACAGCAAATTCTGTTCATGTGATGTCCATTCCTGACCTCAGGTGAACTTGCAAACAGCGGTCATTTCCATTCCCATTTCCATTTGTGATGGGATTCTCCACATCCCTGCTCTTTGCATCTTAATAATGAGCCCTAAGATGTTCCCATAGGAGGAGAAGAAAAATCATAGTTATTAGGCCCTTCTCAAACACTACCTCTCAATTTAGGGTTTTCCTTTGGGTTCATGCAGAGCGATGGAGATTTGATGTTTCTCCGGGACTGGATTCAGATTACCACTCTGCCACTATCAGTTCAATGTGTTTTTGGATCTCTGATGATACTCTTTCTCCCAAATACCCAGGACAGCCGCGCTTCTTTTTATCCAACTCTCTCTACATCACTCATGTAACCCCTATTTATTTATGGAGAATATCATGCGGTCAGAGGCTACTGTGTTTCTTCACAGTGAGCTTGCCTGCAAGTCTTGGCTTGCCATTCAGTCAAGGGAAGCAGCTGTTACAGCCTCTTACCCTTCATTACATGGCGCCATCTGGGAGAGATCAGACATCCCTGATTGGCTGCAGTAGAGTCCAGCTGGGCAAGGCTGGCACTCACTCTCTGCTTTCAGACCCAGAGAAGCGGAAAAGGAGCCAGGTGGGCAAGGAACGGGATATCCAGTCCCACTGGGGCAGAAATGCCCAGGAGGACAGATGTCATTCCCGGTTAGGAGGAAGCTGGCAGAATCCACCTGAAAAAAAATAAGGAAAATAAAATCAGTGAGAAAGAAATATGGTTGGTAAACAATTTTGATGAAACCAAGTCTTAAATGTGAGCTTCCAATAAGATGATATCACTGTACCAAGCTGATTCAGATAACATTTCTCAAGTAATTGCACATCAAAGAGCCTATTGATTTTCTCTCAAGCTTCTTCTGTGAGCCACAGAGGGGCGTAATTAACTTGGTAAAATTGCCCAAGGTTGTGCAATTTGCTTTTTAAAAAAGAGGTTCTCATGAAAATCCATCAACATTTTAGTGCAAATTTCTCCCCAGAACACAATTTTGTAAGTAGTTTTGACTAACATGCACATTTTTGCAAGCCATTTTCCTTGATAGAAGGCATTTTTGTGCATTATTTTCACAAATATAAGTATTTTATTTCTGCAAAAACATGCCTAATGTGCAAAATTTTACATGCTTTTTTTGGGGTTGGGAAACTGCATTGTGAAATTGGAAGATGTACATATTTTGAAGAATAGCTGCTTTGGGATTTGCATCTGGGTTCGGGCTGTGAAAATTAGCCCAACACATTTGACACCCCTAGTAATGAATTAATCCTGCTTCTTGCCATTTACACTCACCCTCTGTCTCATGGGAGCAGGGTTGACTGCTCCCCTGGTGCAATAGTAGCCTTGATGACAAAGGCCAGTCGGTTGGGACAGCCCAGGAGAGGAGCAGTACATTCCTTTAAAAAAAAAATGGAAAGAAATCTGCAGTGAACATAGGGAACACAGGAAGCTGCTTTTTACCAAGTCAGGCCAATGGTCTGCCTAGCTCAGCGTTGTCTGCACTGACCGGCAGCAGCTCTCCAGCATTTCAGGCAGGGAGGTCTCTCTACCTGGAGACACCAAAGGGGATTGAACCTGGGACCTTCTGCATGCAAAGCAAATGCTCTACCACTGAGCTGTGGCCCTTTCCCAGTGTGCTCAGCATTTGTATGAGCAACCAAGAGCTAGACTTCTTCCCGCTATTGTCTTACCTTCTTTCTTGGGTGGGCTGTGTGCTCCTTGCCCCAGTCCCTCACTTACCTGCTGGGCAGGGCTGACAGTCAGATTCCTCAGCAGCACCAGCCTTGGGCCCATTTGTGCCTCTGGGGCATGGGTGTTCTGTGCCAGATGTGGTGCCAGGGGGGCAAAAATGCCCCAGAGGGCATGGCTTGGGGGCCTGGATAGCAGCAGCTAGGAAAGAAAGAGCAGCTTAGCAACTTCTTGCTAGCATTTTCTCTAAGACATTATTATATTGTGACAATTGTGTGTACAATCTCCAGCACTCTGCTCTGAAAACTAAAACATATAAAAGATAATAAAGTGATAAATAATGCTAGAATTAAAACCAATATAAAAGCAAATCTATTAAAAATGTGGATAGTAAACAGCACAACACCATCAAAAGGCATTTTAAAAGCTGTCAGTTCCCAAAAGCCTGCTGGCATAACACAGTCTTTACCTGCCGGTGGAAAGACAACAACTAGGGAGCCAGTTTAGTTTCTCTAGGAAGGAGTTCCAAAGTTGGGGAGCAATCACCTGGGAAAGCCCTCTCCCACATTCCCACCAAGGGTGCCTGAAAGGATGGCAGGACTAAGGGAAGGTGGGTCTCCTCAAAGATATCAGAGGCCAGGCAGGTTCATATGGGAGAATATGGTGCTTCAGACAGCCTGGACTTAAGCCATATAGGGCTTTGTAGGTCATAACCAGCACTTTGAATTGTGCCCAGAAACAGACTGGTTGCTGGTGGAGCTGTTCTAACAATGGAGTCATGTGCGAACATACCTGGAACTTAGATTATATCCAGTTCTTATCAAGCATCTGTTCTTATTTACTTGCAGGGAGATAATACGATGGTGAGCATTCCTCCTGCATTCATCCAGATTTGCCTGTTGTGTGTTTATACACCTTCTTGGTAACCCTTCACTGATTCTGCACTTTTCAATGTGTTTCACTATCACTTTCCTAACTCCAAAAAGTCTATTTATTTTTCAAAGCAGATTTGTTGTGCAAGGGCAACAGAGCACCTTCATACATATTAAATGTGCCAACCTAAATTTCCCAATTATGTGCGTGATCCCCTCCTGCAAAATACTGACAGTCTGGAGGTGCTCAGATGCATGGAACAAGCTATCCCTTGCACATAAATCATAACAAGCAACCATCATGGGCACATCCCTCCAATGTCCTCACTTTGGTTGGATGATTCACAGAAGAACCCAGCTGGGCAGAGATCACATGACTCTTTCCCTTCCTCCAGTTGATAGGTTCCTTTCTGGCAAGCTGCTGGAGCCACAGATGCCTGAAGGCAGTAAAATCCACGTGGGCACCGGTGGGAAGCAGGTGTGGCGGAGGTCTGTCCTGGGGGGCAATAGTACCCGGGCATGCACATCCCTTCTGGGGCAGCCTTTCCCGGCCCTAAAGCCATTGAGAGGAAAAAGAAGGCTTGTGTTTCTTTCCATTAAGGAAGAAGCCAGCTGAGAATCTGTCAAGACACCCCCTTGCCTCAAAAGGGGGAAAAGAAATATTCATGCACATACCACTGCAGAAATGCCCCTCTGGACAGAGCTTGCAGTCTGTGGGATCCCATTTCCCACTGTGGGGATTGATGCTTCCTGCAGGGCATGGAATTGGGGTCCCTGTGCCTTTGGGGCAGTAGAATCCTTGGGGGCACAGTTTCTGGTCAGGATCCGTGGACAGCGAATCACAGTAGTAGCCGCGGTGACATATCCCTGCAAAGGAGAGGGTGTCAAAGACCACCACAAATCACTGGTGATCCATAATAATAATAATAATAATAATATATGATTTATACCCTGCCCATCTGACTGGGTTTCCCCAGCCACTCTGGGCGGCTTCCAACAAAATATTAAAACACAATAGTCTGTTAAACATTAAAAGCTTCCCTAAACAGGGCTGCCTTCAGATGTCTTCTAAAAGTTGTTTTTCTCTTTGACATCTGGTGGGAGGGCATTCCTCAGGGCGGGTGCCACTACCAAGAAGGCCCTCTGTCTGGTTCCCTGTAACTTGGCTTCTCGCAGCGAGGGAACCGCCAGAAGGCCCTCAGCACTGGACCTCAGTGTCCAGGCAGAATGATGGGGTGGAGACGCTCCTTCAGGTATACTGGACTGAGGCAGTTTAGGGCTTTAATGGTCAGCACCAACACTTTGAATTGTGCTCAGAAAGCAACTGCGGGGCTCTGTTTCTAGCAGAAGAGGTGCCGGGTCCTAAGGCTACTGGGAAGTCACTTTCTTTGACCTCCCAGATGCCTTGCTGCCTAAAACCAGACCTGTATATGGGGATGGGGAAGTAAGTTTCCAGTAGGTCCATGGTGAGAGAAACTCTGTGTGTGCTCAGAGCCTTCACTCTCTTTATTAATTTGCAGATTGCCAGACTCTCAGGAAGGATTTTCCTCGTGTCCCACTGTGCAGAAAATGAACTGTAATTTCTAACCTAAGTCAGTTGCTTTAAATCATCCACCCACTCACCCCAAACTCCTTTGCAAATTGCATATCAGATATAATTATTTTCTGGGTCAGAAGCCAGAAAAAAAAGAGGCTGCTTGATTAGTGCAAGACAAACTTAGCTCAATGTAGCTTGCGGGGTGGCGGTGGTATATTTATAGAGCTTTCTCTTGTTTCAGCATCCAAATTACACTGCGTGCTCTGGAAGGTGATTATAGAACTCACCAGAAACGCTGGCCAGACCTTCTCCTTGGCAGAAGCTTCCTCCAGGGCAGGGCAAGCAGGCACTGAGGGACAACATCCCAGGCTGGGTTAGAAAAGTCCCACTTGGGCATGGTGTTGGGTTGCTGCTACCCAAGGGGCAGAAATGCCCTGCGGGGCACATGTCTCCACTTTCATCGTGAACAGGGTTTGGTACTCGTGCTTTCAGGGTGCAGTAATACCCGGGCAAGCAAGGGCCACTTGGGGTAACACGACCTAGGAAAGAGAGAGGCTTTATTTTACTTTATTTATATTCACATTATTATACTGCTCAAAAGCTCTGGATTGCACATAACTGGTGAGGATATTGCATTGAGATTGCATTTGGGGATTTAGATACACACTATACCTTTAAAGCACTTTTTTAAATAAAAAGAATAAATTGTATTAGAGTTTGGAAAACGGGATACAAAGATTACTACCTATTATCTTTTTAATCAAAACTAAAATTTTAATCTAAATAAAAACACAAACCGAAAAGAAAAAGAAAGAAAATAAAAAACAGAGAGAAAGAGAGGATGAAGAAATAAAGAAGGGATAAAGGGGAGAAGGAGAGAAGGAGAGAGAAAGAGAGGAGATAATGAAAGAAAAAGGGAGGAAGGAAGGAAGGAAGGAAGGAAGGAAGGAAGGAAGGGAAAAAAGGAAAGCTAGCTAAGAAATTTCCGATTCTTCATCAGTCTGCTATATACAAGCATTATTCAACTCATCCACTCCAATATAAAACCCAATAAAACTACTTTCTATAAAACAACATTATCTTCAATCCTCAAACCCAAATGTCATTGGTTTATTTTCTTTTTCATGCAAAAATTCTATGAGAGGTTTCCAATCTTTAGTGAATGTTAACAATGACTTTTCTCTGATTAAACATGTCAATTTCACCATCTCAGCTAAGCCCATTAATTTTAACAACCATTCCTTCATAGTTGGTAATGACGAGTCTTTCCACCTTTGTGCGTATAAAAGTCTCACTGCTGTAATCATATATTGAAACAAAGTTTCTTTTTTTTATAAGATATTTATTAAAGTTTCAAAAATAAAAAAAGAGTTACAATAGTAATAATAAGAAAAAATAAAAAAAGAAAGAAGAAAATACAAAATACAAAAAAGTAAAAACAATTAAAAACAAATCAATCTTTCCATATCTTGTCTTTCACTCACTTGTTTCCCTGACCTCCTCACACCTCCCCTTTTTTGTATTCCAGTTCAGTAAATTCTTTAATTCAGCAAATTAATTCAGCAAATCCTTTCTCTCTTTGTTTTTATCTTAGACCTTTGTCTTAATATATAATAATTGTATATTCTCATCTGTTAACAGTCCATTTTTACATACTCCTTGTAGCGTTACTACTAAAAACCCCTTAGCTTCATTCCAACATCATTCTAACATTCATTAATTTTACAGTATTTCTGTAGATAGTCTTTAAATTTCTTCCAATCTTCTTCTGGCTTCATTATTATCAAATAATGGAGGCATACAATCTGGACAAGAAAATTGGCTTCCAGGTGGAAAAATCAAAATTGGAAACAGAACTGTTAGATCCTAAAGTTAAGAATTTGTCAAGAATGTATAACTTGCTGTTGAAATGGAATACTCAAGATGAAACAGTGAAATCTGTTATGATTAAATGGGCACAAGATGTTGGACTCCATCCACCAGGTCCACTTGCATGGCACCTGTCAGGGAACTGACATCGGAGCGGGAGGCGAAGGGGAGGCTCCTAGATGATGCTGGAGAAGGACCCAGCAGCAGGGGGAGAAGCAGCTCAGTGGAGGGGGAAGCATTTAAGCGCAACACCAGGAACAAAAAGTGGGCAGATGGGGAAATCGGAGAGAGGGCTCCCGGACTCTTCACTGGAACTCAGTGAGGAGGGGACAGGTCCTCCGCTACCTACGCCCTCCCTGCGCAGAAGGCTCCCGCGCAGTGAGAGGAGGAGGAGACTGGGTGTCAAACAACTCTTATGTTGGAAGAGATTCAAGAAACGCCCACTGACGGATTCTGCCAGTGACTGAGACAGTCATGATTAGAAAGGGCTGTGCAGTCAGAAAGGTTTAACAAGGCAAATTAGCCTAGAGAGGCACCAGTTTACGCACGAGTAACTCATACTCATCACAGCACCTTTCAAAGAAAATCCACTTTCCCACAGGTATGAAGTTTACGGCATGTAATGCCTTAAGAGAGAATATTATGAAAATGATATA